TTAAAACATAGTCATCAGAATGTAAAAAATAATTCTGACGAATTGATACTTTCTCTCTCTGCAACCCGTCAACCACGACAATCTATAATAAGACACAAAAACCGTTCGAAATACACTCACACAAAGTACCTTTGACTTATAGACTCATTAATTGACTAAGCGCTTAAATGTTATAAGAAAAACAAGGGCCCATGTTTACTTTAACTCGTTTTCCAAAAAAAGCTTCTCTTGTTTCAAATTTTATAAGGCATATGCTTTGTAGATTGAAGTATATCAGAAAATGGTACGTTTGAAAGGTAGACTCATTAATTGGCTAAGCGCTTAAATGTTATAATAAAAACAACTATTAAGGTCGAACGAATTTTAAAAAATTTATTGCAAGGTTTAGAGATCTACAACTTCTAATCTTCCACATATTAATTTTTCTTTTAAAAATTATTTCATTGGGTTAATCGAGTCAGATTAACTGGTCATCAACTTGAGATCTACAAAAAAACTGTGTACGTTTTCTGATGAAATTGCTCTTCAGGGAGAAAGACTGAATCACAGAATGGAAAAAGCAGGTAAAAGGACACTTTTGAGGGTCGGTTTGCTTTGTTTTTATCAGTTTCAGTTGAGAGCATCAAAAATTTGTGAAAGGCAATAAAAAACCCTGTCAGAAAAGATAGTTTTTTTTTAATTATTTTCAACTGTGTGGCTTTGGAGTTTGCTAACATGGCGTATTTAGACAACCATCAGTTAAAAATTTGATTTAAATATCCTCCAAAAACTGAAAAAATTGCAGGGTCACAATTGAATTCAACAAAAATTCCAGCAATTGATAACCATTTAGGTCCTTCGGTTTTTTCATTTACTCGCGTATATTATTTCTGACATACTTAAATCAATCAAAAATTTCTTCATCGTTCAAAAATTTTAGTGGGATGTGATATGTTATTAGCATTGTTCTATTTTGCATTCAGAAAAAATCAACAGTTTTTTGAGTTCCTTGTCTATTTTATAGTATTATGATTGCAGTTTTTTGTTTTTCAGAGGGCATATGCAAATTTCATTTTAACATGAAGTTCTGTTTGAATCAACTAATACGCATAATTTTAAAAGCTAGAGGTCTAGCGATGAAGGAATTTTTGTTAAGCCGAAAATAAAACTGGTTTCAAACATGATAGAGAAATTGGAGATAGAAATACGACCCATCCGTGCTAAAACACAATAAAACATGAAAAAATATTGTATCCTCAAAAGTACGCAATATAAGCTGACTAACCTGCAAAAACAACTGGAAAAAAATTAAAAAATGGAAAAAAAGTAACTCAGAATCAGAATTGGTAAAAAGAAGAAAATTCAGAACTTTCAATTATAATAAGAACAACTTCAATAAACAAGAAACACATGTATATGAAGATGAAGCGATTTAAATTATACTCGACAAAAAGAGTCAATGGACGGATGGAACCAAAAAAATAATTTTATATGACCCTAAACACTTTGAATTTCAAGAAAGTTTTATAAAATGCATTTTTTGATAAAAATAATCCAATTTGAGAAAATTTCATTCCGCTTGGAAATCGAACTATAAATTTTCTCTATCAAAACTAGAAATCAATCACGCTTTTTCGCGCCATTCAGCTTTCACAATAGAAAAGTGAGTTTTTTCTATCTTCCAGCAAATGATCTTGAAATGAACTAAAAACGTGCAAATATACCAAGAAGCCCTTAAATGTGCATTATAAGTACGAATGAACTTCTTTTTTTATAAGCATGTTTAGACTTTCCTTTCAAGAAAATCATTACGCCCTATATAATTCTAAACAGGTACATGTAAACAGGACCTGCACCAATTCACAAAACTTTGTTTAAAAGTTTATCAAACTCTGATTGTATGACAAAAAAAAGTGAACACGAATTGTAATTTCTTTGACAATTACCTTTATACGACTGTATGACAAAAAGACAAGAAGTACTAGAATATCCGTTCCCTCGTTGAATATTTCCGGCAAATATAAATCGAAATAAACCCTTTTTTTAACAACCATACTATTGTAAGTTTATATAATGTACTATAGATAACATAGCCAGCAGAGAGTTTGAAAAGAGTCAATGCACGCAAAGATTCTGAAAAAAGTGACTTATTTTTTACAAAAACTTATAAAGAACTTTTGAACTTCAAATAAAAAAATGTATAGCTTAAAGCTCTTTGAATATGAAACCCAGCTGTGATAGACAAATTCTGATAATTTAGTTCAATTTGAGAAAACTGGTTTATAATGAAAGTTTTTATTTAGCAGGGAAATCTGAAAATTAGTTTTATAATTCAGATAGACAGCCAGTACACATTCATTATGTGCAGTTATGAGTATGAATTTTCTTTTTTGTTATTAGAGGATTTTAGGACTTCTCCGGAAAAAAATCATCAAAACTTATATAAGAGTCTGAACTACGTTCATCAACTCTTCAAAAAAAACCTGATAACAACCATAACCTACTAATAAAATGGAAAGAAAACAGACGGAAGCTAGGACGAAATCACCAAAACAAAAAAAACTGAGGACTTAATTCTAAATAATAATTACTACCCGAAACGAACTCCGCCTAATTACCACTTAACTAATGATTAACCTGATGGTTCTCTTTAAATTTTTTTCGAGAAATTGAGTATTTGAACAGTCTGCACTTACTAAAATGATTATTCTCTGAAAATTTCGTATGGGAAAAGTCGTGTACCAGGTGGCAACACCCGTGCTGATCATCGCAATAGTAATAACCAACCCAATTGGAAAAAAAATCAACAAAATTCGGGAAGCTTCCTAATCACATCGCAGTTTCACGTAACACAGTAATTCAGTAGTCATATCATCCAACACAAACAAGTCTCAGGTCAATCCTGTCTTAATAAGAGTGAAGGAAAAAACCGACTTGAAATTTGAAAAAAAAATCAACTTTTCAATTTTTAAGGACAAGTTTATGTCCCTAAAGTTTTTTGAGCTTCAAAAAAATTGCGACTGATATTTGTTTTTGAATAAATACCCCAGTTTGTGAAAAACAGACTATTTTTTTATTCCGCTGGAAAAACCAAAATTTATTATCCACTTTCGAAGTTAGAAAATTTTTACGTTCTTGGTGACTTTCACATTTTGCTGTTCGCTAAGTGTGTTAGCCTTCCTGTAAACAAAAAATTGAACTAAACCTCAAAATAAATCAAAAGTCAAACCACAAAAAAAACCAATTTGATCGCCAACATATTGTAAGAACTTTTTCTGGAACAGAAACAATCACCAAGACTATATAAAATCATTCGATACGTTCTTGACTCCTAAAAAAGTTTGATGGCTCGCGAAAAAAATCTGAACAAATTTCAAAAATTTCTGAATAAAAATCACGATATAATGAGAATTCATTGATTCTTAGAAAAATTTGAAATTGTGAAAACTTGGAATCATCTCGAGCTTCAAGAGACGTAACAAAACTCTAAGATTTTACCGTGAAAAAATAACATAAATTATATGAAAGTCTTCAAATTTTCAATAACTCCTACAAACACCTAAAAATCAAGCAAACAATACTTTGAGTTTCTAATTTCAAGCTTAAAACATGATCCAGGATGCGCAAAAAATAAAATCGATTTCTAGTTTCGAAAAGGAATATAGTTTTTAGATTTCGCAGCTTTTTCATCATATTTTCTTATTTTGTGTAAATTCAAAGAAAAATTGCCAACCACGAACAGTTCCTGAAACTGATGAAGCTTCAACGTGATGTTTTTCTTAGAAACTCGAAAAATGTTCAAAACTTTCAAGCTACTTTTTTCGAAATTCCATTAGTTCCCTCAGGCTTCCACACACTAAGTCCATGAAAGAATACTAGTCATAGAAATTTCATACATTTTGCTAAAAAGGCCTCATCGAATTTTCAAAGAACTTTTTCTTGTTTTTGCATAAAAGTCGTTGTATCGTACTATATACTAAAAGGAAAACTTGTTGTCCGAAAAATGCTAGTCATACAGTTTCCATACATGTTATGTGGAAATTGCATGACTAGCATTTTTTTGATGGTGACAACAAAAAGCTCCAAATTTTTTTTTGGTTTTTTTCAACCGAAAATCGAATTTGGTACGCAAACAAACATTTTCAAAAATTATTTTTTGCAGTTTTTTAGCCACATTTTTCTGTTTCTTAAATTTTTTTTGTTTTTCGTCTAACTTTTCTACCAAAACTGTTTACCAATTGTTCTATTTTACTATGACTGTCGACTGTTTTCAAGTTGTATTTTTCGTATAGATCTTTTTAATCACACCACGCAGTAAAATGACAACTTGAAGGAAGAAAACTGTTTTTTGTTGTGTTTCTTTTGAGACCATGGTCGGAAAATACTGTACTACTAGCACAGTAACAGAGTATCTTTGTTTTGGTTTTAGTTTTTGCTTGATGGTCAGAATTATTTCAATAATTATTGATGTTGTCCAATAAATGTCTGATCAAACGTTTCTGTAAAAATTTTCCTGGACTTTTCATAAATTGTTTTTTTTTGCTTATAAACATGGCGACCAAGTGCGAATCTTTTTCGAGAGTTGACAGAAAATCTCTAATCATGAATCAACTGTGAAGCCGTTCTTCAAATTTAAAATGCATCTAACAATTAAAGAAAACTTTAACTCTTTTAACCAGTCAACGTTTATACTTACTTCGTTTTATTTGTCTTCTGCTGTTGGCCTTATGATAAATTATTTGCTGAATTCAAATGAGCTTCGTTAAACGAACGACTATATTTCTTTTCGCGTTTGATTGGTACTTTTATCAATTTTACAACCGTAGTTTTCCAAGCTATCAGTTCCTAAGCTGGTTACACTATTATTTTTTCTGGATTTTTCTCAATCTTAAGTAAGATAGTCCGGGATTGTTTTTATTACTTTGCAATAAAATCTGAAGGTTGTCTGGTTGGTGGGAGTTATGAAAGGGAATAAAATTTTAGGTGCTTTTCGATCACAGAAAAATTTAACTATCTGGGTTTTCAATGTTGACAGTAAAGTGAAGAACTGAAGAAAGTCCTGCTTGCTTGAAGCTTATCAAGGCATACGTTGTTTTTGATATTCAGAGAAATTTATTTTCCTTCCAATTTTGTTTTGCTCATGGACTTTTGAATCAATAGCAGATAGATCCTTTCTTCCAGAAGGATTCCAGTTTTTTACCCATATTTAATAAAACTGAACTGTGTACTCTTTTTAACAAAAATGAAATTAAAGAATACTCACAGGCCAATCAGGTTAGTTATTATAACGGGTGCCAGACATCAAGTCGACGGGACTTCGAGCCAAATCGTAAAATTAGGGACTTCAAGCCGAAAATTGTCTCATTAAGTCATAAAATATGATTAATTTAAAAAAATTTTTGAAGAATTTCTTAATTTCATGATCTTTGTTCAGTTAGTTATTGGAGTTTTCATAAAATTTAAGCCTCCGAATGATGTTTAGGAAAGTTGAAAACTACAACACAGTTGAAAGCTGTTTTGTTTATAGTTTATGCATTTCAAAAACCGGCTGATGTTATTAACGAATACCAATCAGAAGTGGTGCATTGACATGAATAACGCTTATTATGGACTAAACATGCCTGAATTTCTGAAAAGCAACGTTTTACAGGTTTAAAAAAAATTGATTTGAGCTGCTGCTTGTAATTTTTAATTTTCGGCTTGAAGCTCCTTCGACTTAGAGTCCCGTCGGATTGTCGTCCTAGACCCAGTTTTTACAACAAAAAGCACAAAGACGAGCAATGGCGTATCTAGCGGCATCGAGTTTCTACCAATCACACGTCGCTGTTTTGCTGCCTTGTTATGCTTTTCGATCACGGGTCTTGACGATTTTATTTCGGTTACTCGAAAAAAAATCAGGCTCAAACATGTCCTTTTTCTACGCGCAAGATCTAAATTTTATTTTGGAAAAAGTTAAATGTATGATTTTAATTGGAGCGAAGTGCTGACTTTTATAACTACTCACAAGTTTAATGAAGGACACTTGAATTGAATCAATTTTCGTTTACGTACTTAATTGAAAGCGGAGTTTATTAAAAGTTTTTGCCCACTTGATTTTTGCCCACAAATTATTACCAGGTATTTTTCGCTTTTTGTCTCTTATTGTGATGGCTTTGCTTTTTGTTTCATATCTGCTATGAATAGTTTTTGCCTACTTAGCTTGCTTAGATTACTTGGCTTACTTGGCTGAAAGGCTATGCTGAGAGTTAAATTCAGATCCTTGGAACTCGAAACTTTAAAAAGTTTTTCATAAAATCTTTTTTTTCGGCTCAAGTTGTTTCTGCTCAAAGGTTATCGGCTTTGTCTCGGCTCCGCACGTTTTGTTCCGCTGCTAAAATAAAATCAAAAGTCTTGCTTGGCATTTTTTATTGGAAGAATTGTATGAGGAAAACAGGTATTCTGAAAAGTTATGGAATTGAGTTTTTTATTTAAATTTATTTTTTTGAAACGCTTTGAAAAAATTTTGGTTTATCAATAACATATCTTAATTATTTTCTATGAACTGGTATCCTTGGAAAGACCGCCTACTTTCGCATGTGCCTGCGTAACCTCCTAGTATTTTTTTTTCTACAGCCTTCGAACATTTGACCCAATTTTGGTACTTCATGGTTTTCTCGAACCCTCTAAGTTCTGGGTTTATAAATTAAATTGAATTAATTGCTTGCGGGAAGCTCTTCTGCATAATTGACTACCTCCAATTTTTCTACACAAAAAGCTATGGTTCTCGCAAGACTCAAACTTTTGATTTTTGACCGTTTTTTGGACTTTTTTCGATAACTATCCTGCCAAATCTGGTGTCAATGGCTTAATCGAAACAACAGGTTGTTGAAAACCTATCTGTATAAAGGGCAACTCCCAAATGTTTTTAGAAAAAAATTTTGGCCTTCAAAAATATCAAAGTTTTGAAACTTTGACCGTTTTTTGGAAATTTTGACTTTTCTCGAAAGCTACCCTGCCAATTCTTAGCTTAAGTCTTCAACAGAGAAACCAGGTTTTGGGAATCTTCTCGGCGTAAGTGGTCACATACTAGATTTTGCTGTCACGTTGTTGAACTTCTGACCGTTTGATAGAAACTTTTGACTTTTTTTATTAACTACTCATTTAAGTCTATTAAGTCAATCGAAATAATTTTTTTCCAACATCGTCTTTCGACTTCTTTTGTTTCTGTTGTATCGCAGGTGGTACAAAGCTCCGCTTCGCCTCTGCGTTAAAATTACAAATTAGCTTATTAAGAGTCGATGAATCTAGTTCAGACTTTTTTGTAGGTCGTGATGATTTTTTCTCTCTTTGCTTTAGGAAAAGTCTTAAAGTTTGTTCAAGGTTATTTTTATTGTTTCCCGGTTTGAATTCACTATCCATCAGCAAAAATGTGATAATTACAAAAAACGTGATCAACAGCTATTTTCGAAATTGGAATTTAATTTACAGATTTCCGAGCAAATTTGGTATTTCTAAAGTTGCGTTAGTTTCATCAAAACAGTGCCTATCATAAATTGTACAAGTAGCTTGAAGGGCGTCTCTTTTTTTCTTTGCGTTTTTTGAATTTTACTTGCGTTCATTGAAACTTTTACAACTTTCTGCTGGCTGTGTTCAAAATTTGAAGAAAAATGTGAACAATTTTATATGAAAATATTTGTCCTATTTTTAAACAAATTGTGCATCCCGTTAATAAAGTAACTCATTTGTCATAGATGAACAATAACCTAGCCCAGTATGTCTGAAGCATTCAACAAAGCAGTGGAAGAGGTGAAGAATTTCACTATTAGACCGCGAGACGATATTCTGCTGGATCTGTACGCACTGTTCAAACAGGTCACAGTCGGAGATGTGAACACTTCCAGACCATTCATGCTAGACTTCAAAGGTACGGAAACCCATAAATCATCTTGTCCGTTTTTATTGTCTCACGAAATTTTTAAAAAATCATCTACCTTGTAAAGTTTTTGAAAAGGTTTTTTTGCGTATTTTTTGATTCTCCGGCGTCTCAACTAGAAGATAGTTAACAATTTGCATATTCTGCTGGAAAGCTTTAGGATTCATGATTTTTTTCCAGTTTTATTTGAACCCATTTGTGAGGCTGGATAAGCTTATTGTACAAGGAATTGTTTCTATTTTTAGCGTCAAAAACTTTTAGCCACATATTGACAAACCATGTGTATTGTGAGTTAATTCCGGGGTGGCTTTCAGATGTCTGTTCGTATGATACACCGTCTGTTCGTCACGCTATCTTATTTTCGGCTGGATTGGTTCGGGCAACTTTTTAGTCTAACACCGATCCTTATCCTACTCTTATATTTCCTAGTTTCAATAAATCTAGTATATGCTGATATTGTTGCGAAGCGAGGAAGAGTAAATGTTTGCTAATTTAATTTTTTTCTTTTCTGGCTGAAACTATAAATAGTTTCAGCCTTACAAATTATTGCAAGTTTTAGTCATGGATCATGATTAGTTAGTTCTTAGTATTTTATATTAATTGTTATCAAGAATATAATTGATATATTAAATACTTGTTTTGAACTGGTTCCAATTGGAATATTATACAGCCCACATTGAAAACTAACCAAATTTGAGTATTATAAAAAATAACCCAAATAATTAACCAGACAACTAAAATTCGAGTAGTCTTTGGAATCATGGCAATCATTCTTGGGGGTAACGCTCCTTAATGTTTTTACATGTGATGCAATAACCAAACTTTTGACACAACCGCGCTGCATAGCAACTGACGTGTGTAGTGACTTTTCTTAGTGACTTTCTTACCGTCAGTTGCTTTTATTCCCGACAAAAGGCGTAAACAAAGGACGATTTTATCCGGAGAAAGCTTGCCATGATTTCTTGTTAGTCAAAGCTTTCCACTCAAATTTTAATTGTTTGTTGTTAGTTTTTTCTGCAACGTGGGCGGGTAACATGAAAACTTCGGACGTTTCAAAGATAAAGGGCAAGTTTTAATTGCTTTAAAAATACGGTTAAATTGCGTAGGGTAAAATGATATCGGGTTAAATGGAATAGGATTAAATGCCCCGTGGGCGGTGTAGTAACGTCTAACTTGTTGTGCTATTAGGGAAGGCCAAGTGGGACGCATGGAAGCAATTGAAGGGGTTGTCGAAGGAGGAGGCCGAGTCGAAGTACATCTGGTTGGTGGATAATATCAGGCACAGATACTCTAATATCAGACACGACAGCGATCTCATAGACAATTAAATATTGCAAATTTAGGAGCAATGCTGATTCAATTCGCGGTTTGTGTGAGTAGTTTGTTCCATCCCTGAAGTCATCAGTTGTAAAAATAATTTCACATCAGACCCCCTACACAATGTCATCTGCAGTTTAATATCCGGCCTTAGAAATGTACTTCCCAATTTTTCTTTTGTTGAGCTTCCACTTTGATTGAATTGTTCGATGATATGTGGCTGATGTAGAAAAAAAAACGTGCTAGTGTATGTTTGGCGTAACTATCAAGTATCAAGCTGAATAAATTTTTGCAAATTTTAGTTTTTGATAATTCTGTAAACAGCAGAATGAATGGCTTGCGCAGGAGTTTTTTGACGAGCGTAGAGGCTTAAAAATTTTGTCGACTTTTGTAGTTCAGCCATTTTGAGTTTTTTCTAAGCCCCGGATTGATCATAATTTTCTAAACCCCGGCTTGATCATAAATTTGGCGTAACTACGATGTGTCAAGGCTGAAAATTTTTTGTAATTTTAATTTTTTTGAATTCTGAAAGCAGCAGAATCAGTGGAGTGCGCAGTTGTTCTTCGACAAAGGGGCCAGCCAAAACCCCAGATTGATCATTTTGGCAAAATTTCTAAACCGCAGGCAACTTTTGTTTTCATCAAAAATGCGGTTTTTAAGCACTTCTTGCTAGGTTTTGACCGAGGGCACCAAGTTTCTCGAGGGCACCAAACTTTTGAAAAAAAAACTTTCGAATTTTTGTTGACTTTTTTGTCACCCAAGCTGTTTTTCCGAACCCTTCTCAAACATTTTCTAATGACCTTAGTTTGACCAACTTTTCTGCGCCACAGGCAAGTATCTGAAAAAAAAAAACAGGTTAGAAGTGCCGTTTTTGGCCACTATTTGGAAAGTTTTGACCAAACATTTGCATATCAAAGCAAGGATAGCCGGTTGCTCTGTAAATTTCAGTATTATTTCAGTTTTTCTACTCTTTCCTTTTTACTATTTTGAGGCTGCAGTTTTTAATCTAGCGGCTTGATAGCAACATAGTGCGTTGTTTGAAGAACAACAAGCTTTTGAACAATGCTTCGAGGGAAGATGAAAAATTATCTTCCAATTTACCTGATTTTGTCTCATTTAATGTCTTGTATCGCAAGCTTCGTTTCTGAGAAAAAAATGTGCATGCTCTTTTTTCATTTTTGTGTTGGACTATGATAAATTTGCGGTTTGATCCAGTTTTTTCGATTGGTGTTAATCAGGGGCGGATCTAGGATTTTCTCGAGGGGGGGAGTGGATTTTGTCGATTTTTTTTTTAAGTCGACCAAGTTGATTTTTTGAGCTCCAAAAAGACTTTGCTAAGGGTAACATTTTGTGCACTGCAGGCAACATTTTGAAAAAAGGCCAAAAAGGCATTTTTAGGCACTTTTAAAAATTTTTTGACCAAAAAATCGCGTTTTTTCGGCGCGCGCTCCCCCTCAAAATTACTATTTATTGGCGCCAAAGGCGCCTTTAGAAAAATTTAGGGGTCCGTCAGCTAAAAATGGATATATCAAAATGGTTCAAAGGGGGACCCTTTGGGTCGGTAGGGGGTCGAATCCCTGAGGGGAAAAGGCGTCCGCCACCCCCGCCCCCCCTAAATCCGCTACTGGTGTTAATTGTTTCCAACTGCCTGTTGGCTATGATATAAATTGCTTAGTTCCCCTCTTCGCTGAATAGGTCTTATAGTTTGATTAATGTCAATTTTGTTTGTAGCAATTTGATCTTGATATTTTGAAAAACGCATCAAGCTCATAAGCTAAAGGCAGGTGCAGATCTAGGATGTTTTAAAGGGGTGCAAATTTCATTTGAAAGTATTGTTAGAAGCTTTCGCTAAACACGATGAAGATCGTCTCATGTTATAATTTTGTGGACTTTAAACATACCAAAAGTGCCCTTTGCCGGCTCTTGTTGAAAGGTTTTGAGCCAAATCTTTCGTTTCTTCGGCGCATGTTCTCCCTGAAATTAGTATATATCGACCCAAGGTACTTAAGCAAAGCTTTTAGGTCGGGTGGCGTCAGGATGGCATCAAGTTGTCAGGGGATAAAATCCTGGAGAGAGATTTCACCCCCTCTCTAAATAATATCATAGCTAAAGGGGTGGGGATTTTTTCAATAAGAAAATGAGTCTAAAGATTGTACAAAAAAATAGGTATTCGAAACTAAATGAGCACAAAATGACTTAAAACGTTTTGTTGCGACAACCGAAAAAAGCGACTGAATGTTTACCCCTTTGTGACTTTTTCCTTCTCCCAATTTCGACTGTTAATTTTTCTTGGTTATGGCTGAATTTCTTAAACTATCCGAAAACTATTAATGCGTTAAGTTTAAATTTGAAATGGTATCTCATCTGGGATAGTTTTGCTATTATTTCTTCAATGAAAAAAAAAACAGACATCTTAAAAGACACTAAGAAAACTCCAGGCCTCATTGTAATACAAGCGGTTTAGTCTCTATTTTTTCAATTGTCAAATGCTCCTCAATTTCATTATAATGTGCCCTTTACTTGGAAACATTTAAGAAGGCTGTTTTATAAAATAGCTGATCATTTTGTAGCCAGATATCAACATTTCAAAAAGATTTTTTGATGAATTTTTTCATTGATTGTATGATAAATAGCTTGATCAGTAAAAAATATATATATTTTTTCAGTATTTCTGTTGTTGAATAGCTCAGTGTTCATGTTTTGTCATATTTCACTTGCAAAGGATTCTATGGGCGCAGTATTGAAACTTTCCTTGCCACGATTATCGTAGAATACAAGAAACATGCAAACATGTCAAGATAAGATTGGTGTTATCTAAACCTAAACAGCAGCAAAGCTTAAGCTTAATTTTTTGGATGTCCTCAAAAATTGTTCAGCTTTTTTCTCAATATTTTATTGCTGAGCCTTCTTTCCCTAATTATATGTGATAAAAGATATGATTTTTTGTTTTTTTGAAATTTTAAAACTAAACTAATTTGAGTGTTAAATGTTACGAAAATATTTCTGCTTCATAATTTTT